GTGCGGGGGAGAAAGGTGCGCCTGCCGTCCATGTTGATCTGGAAGACGGAGCCGGAGACCTGGCACAGGGTGTTGCCGAAGGGCCAGTGGTGGTTGGAGTAGTAGAAGAGGCGCAGGGGCAGGGGGAGGGTGAAGGCGAGGTCGCTGAGGGCCAGGTTGAACATGTAGATCATCACCACGGACTTGAGGCGCAGGTAGCGGACGAATATCCACAGGGCCAGCACGTTCAGCACCAGGCCTGTCACGAAGATCAGGACGTAGCCAGGCAGGAGGAGGTGGTGGTTGAAGCTGTAATCCTTGCATGTCTGAGACACATTGGAAGCTGACATGCCCAGTGGGGGTCAGGGGAGGGTCTCACTGAGGTGGTCAAGCCTGCTGAGGGGCTGAGGCAGCACAGGGAAAAGCACTGAGACAAGTCATTCCCCTCTCAGGAGGTTTGGGCACGTCACTCCCCTCAGGTGCAGCTGGCAGGTAGGTGGGCACATCTCTCTCTTGACTGGTGCTGCTTGGATTGCTGCTCAGTGATCATCCGGCAGGGGTGGTCACATAGCTTCTGCCTCTAGCTCAGCAGCTCCTTCCCGTGGCTACGAGGGTGCTGATGCGATGGAAGGTCATTGCCAGGTGTTAAATGTCAGCACGATTCCTGGTTAGAGTGGAAGAGCAAGACAGGAGGATTTGAGTTAGAGGGGGAATCTCTCGAAAGTTCAAAATCCCACCATCTGCTGCAAGAACTTGCAAAAAACCCAGAAGGCTAAGGAAAATGGTCAGTAGAAAAGTGAGTCACTACGTGGCATAAGAAGCCAGAACACAGAGAAGATCATTGTTGTATGGAATAACCTGTCACAGCCCCCCAAAATGCTCTGATCACTCCTGACAGCACGTGCACACAAGCAAGGGACAGCACAAGCACACCCAGGGAAAGTAGTCAAGGTGGCTTCAGGAAAAGAGAGAGACAGAAAAAGGGGAGAGCAAATATTTTGAGGGGAAAATGCTGACTGGCAGGAACCTAAAATAAAACCTGAGTAACATTGTTTTATTGTCAGAGAAGCAGGACTTTGTACTTCCACTGCAGATAAGAAGAATTATACTACAGGCAGACTTGGCTGCACCCTGGGACACAAATCTGAGTGCCAGGCAGTTGGGGTTAGGCTGCTTACATTCATACAGGTCCCTTGGTGTTCCCTCTTGCATGGGACCAATGGTGCCTGTTTGGATTGCATGTCCTCAGACCGTTTCCCTGCTGACACCATCACTCCATGGAGCAGCCCTTGTCCCACGGACACAAAGCAGCACAGCTGGGTAAAGGGGGACACAGGAAAGAAGGAAGGACTGTGGGATGCATGTGGACAAACATACACGTGACTCCAAAGAGGTGTGAGGCTGGTAGCCCCTCTAGATACTGATGGTAGCTCTGTCCTGCCAACCATTGATCAACTGGAGTGTGTCCAGAGGAAGGCCACCAAAATGGTGTTGGTGCTGGGACACGTGTCCCTTGAGGGGATGCTGAGGAAACCAGTCTTGTTCAGCTGGAGAAGAGAAGGCTCCAGGGGCTGTAATAGCAGCCTCCCTGTATTTGGTTTGCATGGGAATGCTTTGATAGCAGGGGTGTGTTCTGGGAGAAGATGCTAGAAGATTCCCCCGTGTCTGACAGAGCCACTTCTGGCTGACACCAAGATGGACCCACCACTGGACAAGGCTGAGCCCACCAGCAATGGTGGTAGTACCTCTGTGACAACATATTCAAGGAGAGGGGAAAATAACCTGCTGAGCAGCAGCTAGAAGGGAGGAGAGAGAACGTGTGATGAACTGACTGCAACCCCCACCCTCTGCCCCCCTGCACTGCTGGGGGGGCAGGAGGCAGAGAAGTGGGGAGTGAAGTTGAGTCTGGAAAGGAGGGAGGGAATGTGGGAAGGTGTTGTAAGATTTGCTTTTGTTTCTCCTTATCCTACTCTAATTGGATTGGTAACAAATGAAATTAACTTCCTCAAGTCAAGTCAGTTTTTGCCTGAAATGGTGATCATGGAGTGATCTCCCTGTTCTTATCTCGACCCTTGAACCTTTAATTGTATTTTCTCTCCCCTGTCCAGCTGAGGAGGGGAATGATAGAGGGGCCTTGGTGGGCACTGGCCTCCAGCCAGGCCAGCCCAACACACTTCCCACACCTGCAAGGTGGCTACTGGAAGAAGACAGAGTTAACTGTTCACAGTGAGGCATGACAGGGGGACCAGAGGCATTGGTCATGAATTGAAGTCATAGATATTCAGACTGGATAAAGGAAGGAATGTTTTCGTTGTGAGGACAGTCAGGCATTGCAACAGGCTTCCTAGAGAGGCTGTGGAGTCTCCATTCTTGAAGTTTTCAAGACCAGACTCTGTGAAGTCCAGAGTAACCTCATCTGATCTGAGAGCTGACATTCCTTTGAGTAGGAGGATGAGCTAGTTCCCCACAGCTAGAGACTGTGTTAATTAGTCTGTGATCTGATAACTCAACATTGAATCATGGTTTGGGTAGGAAGGGACCTTAAAGATCATCTAGTTCCATCCACCCTGCATGGGCAGGGACACTTCCCACAGATCAAGTTGCTCAGAGCCCCATCCAACCTGCCCTTGAACACTGCCAGGGAAGCGAGAGACTTCCACAGCTGCCCGGGGCAACCTATGCCAGTCTCTCACCACCCTCACACTAAGGAATTTCCTCCTAATGTCTAACCTAAATCTTCCCACTTCCAGTTTTAATCCATTCTCCCTTGTCCTCTTGCTACAAGCCCTTGTAAAAAGCCCCTCCCCAGCTTTCCTGTAGCCCCCTCAGGCACAGGAAGGCTGCTGTGAGGTCTCCCCAGAGCCTTCTCTTCTCCAGGCTGAACAGCCCAAGCTCTCTCAGCCTGTCTTCACAGCAGAGCTGCTCCAGCCCTCTGATCATCTTTGTGGCCCTTCTCTGGACTTGTTCCAGGAGCTCCATGTCCTTCCTGTGTTCAGACCTCCAGAACTGGGCTCAGCACTCCAGGTGGTGTCTCACCAGAGCAGAGCAGAGGGGCAGAATCACCTCCCTGGCCCTGCTGGCCACACTTCTTTCGGTGCAGCCCAGGACACACTTGGCTTTGTTGGCTGCAAGTGCACATTGCTGGCTCATGTTGAGCTTCTCATTGACCAATATCCCCAAGCCCTTCTCCTCAAGGGCTGTTCCAAATCCACCCTCTGCCCAACCTGTATTTGTGCTTGGGACTGCCCTGACTCCAGTGCAGGGTCTTTCTTATTGAACTTCATGAGGTTGGCATGGGCCACCCAACCTGCTCTCAGTGCTGTCACAGTGGAGCAGGGGTTGATAAGCATGACATGGTTCCCTCAAAAGGAAAGAAGGCTTTTCTGTCTAGAGCAAATTTTTACCTAAGGTTGGTAGGAGTGCAAGAAGAAGCTACTCAGCAACTCGACAGGCACACCAAGGATGTCAGACCTTCTGGGTGGCATCGTGGGAACATGCAGGGGGAGCCATTTAGGAGAGAAATTGTGTGTGCTGACTGCATGGGTAGGAAAGGATTCATTCTGGCAACAGTGGAAGCCTGATATGGGAGAGCAGACAGCTGTCAGTTTGCCCATCCTTTCATGTTGTTGGGGGGATCCACCACCATGACAGTTCTTCTTCAGTGGCTTGTCAAGCTCCATCTGAGTGGCTTTCACCCTTCTTGGATGGTTGAAAACGTCGTGTGAAGACTTGTGTGAGTTTCATGCATAAAATAAGCTAGGAAGACAAGGCAGATGTGCAAGAATGTTGCTGTTTTCAAATCAAACGAGTAGATGCTTCAAAAAATCTCCAGGAGGACGTGCCAGCTTTTACCAAAGGCCAAACCTTGCCATGACTGCAGACTGAGCAGGCTGGGGAGCCCTGTCCTGGGGAGCTCAGCCCCACACGGTGCTGAGGATGTGGCTGCACTGAGCTGAGGAGGCCTTTGCAAGGGGTCACGGGCAGTTCAGATGGGTTCCTCTCATCACTTTGCTAGGTGGGGTTTCAGCTGTTATTTTAAGGCCAGTCACTCACTCTTAAATCTCTGCAGCTCTTGGCAGGCAGCTCTTGTATTTTCTGACTTGAATGATTTTATGTCTCCCACGGATTTGTTATTTTGCAATCCCTCATGCATAAATCAAACAGTCCAAGCCCCAGCACTGGTATCTTATAACTCCATTGAGAAAACCAACCATCTACCCTCATTCTCTGTCCTGTCTTTTAGGCACTTTTTATCCAGGTAGGAACCTTTTTCTCTGAATTTCTTTAAGCACCAGTGGTGAGGACCCTTTTTAAAGGCTTTTGGAAATCCACACGGGTCACTGTTCATGTGTTTGTTGACTCTTTCAAAGGACTGTGAGGCACAACATCCCTTTAAAAAAGCCATGATGACTCTTCCCTGGTAATTAGATGTGACTTCATGCCAGTTGATGATTTCCTTCATTATAGCTTCTACAAAATTGTTCAGCACAAGCACCAAGCCCTCTGCTCTGAAATTCCCCCAAAAAACTTGCCTTAAATTGTGTCTGCTAGTGAGCCTTGAAGAGCAAATGTTTTTACAGCACAGTTAAGTCAACCACCTTAGTTGTTTTCAGACCTCTGGGGTAAGAGCCACATGATTTCAGACACTGCTTAGCTCATCTTGCTGCTCCATATCTGCTCCCACCACCTTTTCGATCAGAGAAAGCCCTTTGAACAACTTCCCCATAAAGAGAGTTTCTGCTGGGGAAATCCCCCAGGCTTTCCTGCCATGGACACCAGTGCAAGAAATCTCTCTAGTTTTTTGCCCACCACCACCTTTTCTTTTTTTTTCTGGGTGGTTTTCCTTTACCTACCAGCCCTCGAGGCAGCAAGCAGCAGAGTTCTGAACTGGTAGCAAAGACCAGCTAAGCTGAAAGTCTCAGATCTGATCTAACAGTGGGATGATCTCGGAGACCTGAAATGAGTAGGTGCATGGTCTTTGCAAAGATGGAGCTGTGGGAAGGGAGCATGTCTCTGCAGAGCTCTGGAGGTACTGTTTTGACTACCCCCCCTGAAGAGGAGGCTAGAAGAGCTGAAAGTGATTGGATTATCCTTGTTGGCTAATATCTAAGAGCCACAGGCCATGTTCTTTGTGGCTGCCTCTAAAAGGCCCTCAAGGACTCATTGCTCTACACAAAAGTTGCAGAGAGGTCTCAGCTGTGTGAGGAGTCTGGTACCACACCTGAATCATCCTCCTCCTCACGCTGGGACGCTGCCTCGAAATCCTAAAGGAACTTTCTGTTTGGTGACAGACTTTCTGTGGCCTGGGAGGTGAGGGAAGCATCTTTTTACCTCTCAGTGAAAACCAAGG